AGGCATGGGGTTTGGCCATTGTCACAGTCTGGCTGGGGCTCAGGCCTGCTCCATCATCACCTCCAACCCCCCACCCCCCCACCACCCCAGCAAATCCTTCTTTGTTCCTTTCTTCCCTCAGCTGTACCCTCTGTCCCAGGAGCTTCTTCCCCACACATCAGCCTTCTGGAGTTTAGAGCTGGGGAGACAATGCTGGGGGGTGGTAGGGAGACAGTTGACCAGAGTAAAGTCAGCTGTTCTCCAAGGCAGGGAGCTTTGCTGGGGCTGCAGGAGCCTGGGCCAACACTGCAGTTTATCACAGCGTGAAGCAGTGACATTATATTAACAAATAATAATAATTATGGTGGGCTTCCCAGGTGGCGCCAGTAGTAAAGAACCCGCCTGCCAATCCAGGAGATGAGATGAGGGTTTGATCCCTGGGTTGGGTAGATCCCCTGGAGAAAGAAAAGACAATCCACTCCAATATTCTTGCCTGGAGAATCCCATGGACAGAGGGGCCTGGTGGGCTACAGTCCATAGGATTGCACAGAGTCAAATATGACTGAAATGACTTTGAATGCACACACAAGCATACAATACTTACGATAACAATAAAATATGATAGCAGTATAAAAATAATAGCAATGCTCAAGCTAACTTTTATTGGACATCATCTCACTGAATTGTCAAAACCACCCTCCAAAGCACAAGGAGGTTAAGTCACTTAGCCAACATCACACAGCTCAGCAGCATCAGGGGCTGGAGGTGAACTCAGCTAGCTCTGAGTCTGCATTTGACCCTGGCCATGCTGCCTCCCATTGAGGCTCCTTGGCTGGGTCTCAGGGTGGAACACAGGACTGGGCAGCAAAGTGTGTTTTATTTATCACTGTGCTCGTCTTTTGTTGCTGCATGGACTCTGTCTAGTTGCAGTGAGCAGGGCCAACTGTCTAATTGTGGTGCACAGGCTTCAAGTTGCAGTGGTTTCCTTGTTGGGGAACTCGGGCTCTAGGACACATGGGGCTCAGTAGTTGTGGCATGTGGGCTTGCTAGTTGCCCCGAGGCACATGGGATCTTAGTTCCCAGACCAAGCATCAAACCCGTGTTCCCCAAGGCACATGGGATCTTAGTTCCCAGACCAGGCATCAAACCCGTGTCCCCCAAGGTACATGGGATCTTAGTTCCCAGACCAGGCATCAAACCCATGTCCCCTGCATTGGCAGGCAGATTCTCAACCCACTGGACCACCAGGGAAGTCCCAGAGTGGGTTTTTTACTTTTCATAAAGATTGTGTCTGACAAGAAATGCGTTTGTGTTTGTTGAGCTTATGTTGATGGTAGTTGTGATGGTTTAGGGTTCTGTGCTTTGACCTGTGGTTAGAGTCAGGTTTGCTGAGATAGATGTTGGAACCATAAAAGGCAGAGACTTAAAGCCAGCTAAGGGGACTCAACTTTATTCTGAGGTTTGAGGGGAGCCCCTGAAGGTTCTGAGCAAGTGGGGAACCTAGTGGGAGCAGCACTGGGGGTAAAAACCTGAGTGTTTTGTGTCAATGGATTTAATGGACCAGAGTTGGGAGAGAAACCAGTGGGGATCTGAGAGTCATCAAGGTGACCAAGCTCTGTAATTCACTAGCTGTGTGACCTTGAGAAAGTCCTCTCCCCTGTCTGGCTGGCCTCTCTTTTGCACATTTGTAAAAGTGAGGTGGTTGGAACTTATTTGGATTATTATTTGGATTGGTTATTTGGATGACCTCAGCTGGGTCAGTAGATGTTGGAAGAAAAGAGGACAGGAGGAAGGCTTTAAAGAGGAGGCTCTAGAGAATGTGGGATCTGACTGGATAGACAAGATGATGGAAAGGTGGTGGTGGGGGGGATCAATGATGGCTCCAACCTGCAAGGATATATTGATAGAATAGGGACATTGTGGGAAAGCAGTTTGGATTATACAATAGGCTGATAAACTTCTGCTTGCACACCCAGTAAGGCAGACCCCTCCCACCAAAACAAACAGACCAAAAAATACATAAATACCTAGAGAGAGAGATGGCTAAGTTAATTAAAATGGCTAAATTAGTTAAAATTGAACATTTCTCTGTCAGATTACATGGAAAGATGCTCTTTTAGCATTTATGTAAGGATTGTGCTATTTCACAAAATTTGATTTTTAACTTTTACATGTGGAAGAACAGCATTTAATGCTTCAGACTTCTCAAGGGTCTTCATGGGACATGCTGGGTGGAATTGTTTTTTTAGTGAGAGGAAAGGGAGGCTCAAGGTTCCTCAGGACTGGGGATGTTTTGGGCGAGTAACAAGTGAATGCTAAGGTTATGGGAGCATGGTGAGCCACCTACCAGGAAAAGGTCTGCTGAGACCCTGTGAGAAGGTGAAGTTTCCAAGGGAGAGAAATCGGGGTGAAGAGGAGTCCACGTTATGAAAGGATGATGGTTGGCACAGTCTCCCCAAATGTTGAAATGAGGGGATAATTTAGTTTTCTGATCTTCTTTTCCTGAACCTATTCCCCCCACCCTTCTAGACACAGTGCCACCTGGCTCCCACTGGCTCAATCATCCTATTTACTTCCTTCATCTCATTTCTCAGGAAAATCACTTGATTTATTCGTTTAGTTCCAGAGTGTGAACTCCATCAGGAGAAAGAACCTTGACAAAGTTCGTTTCCGGCTGTGTAATTCCTGGCCTTTAGAACAGGGCTGGGCATAGAGTTGGAGTTCGGTCAATTTGTGTTGAATAGATCCAGGCATGCAGGCTTCCCAGGTGGCGCTAGTGGTAAAGAACCCACCTGCCAATGTAGGAGCCATAATGTAGGAGCGGGTTCGATCCCTGGGTCTGGAAGATCCCCCAGAGGAGGGCATGGCAACCCACTCCAGTATTCTTGCCCTGAGAATCGTGTGGACAGAGGAGCCTAGCGGGCTACAGTCCATGGGGTCACAAAGAGCTGGACACGACAAGCAACCGAGCACGGCACAGCGCAGCGGATACGCGCGTGCACACGTGGATAAACGCAGCGCTGGTATTTCAGGCCTCGAGAAGCCTGAGCCGGGAAGAAATTTAGGGCAGCGTGACCTTCCTCATATAACTCAGAAAGCACCTGCTGCGGGGGCTGCCGGGACCGTCGCTGGTCTGCCTCCCTCCTGATGGCCACAGCACAGTCTGTCTATGGCTCTGTGAGAAACTCTGAGAAGCTATATATATCGTTCCCCTTTTGTTCTATTTTTTCCCTAAAATAATAAGGAGGTTTGAGGTGTGTGTGGGGGGGTGGTGCTCAGGGAAGGCTTACAGCCTTGACAGCACTCCAGAGCAAGTGGGGTGGCGGAAAGCCTTTGCCCTCCACCGCTCACGTGGCTGCCTTTCCTGCAGCTGAAGCGGTTTCCCACGGCCCTGTCCCTTTCCAGATACCCGGCTTCTCTGTTAGCCCTCTGGGTTTCCCAGATGGCTCAGTGGTAAAGAATCGACCTGCAGTATATATCGGAAATGCAGGAGATGCAGGTTCAATTCCTGGGTTGGGAAGATCTCTTGCAGGAGGGTATGGCAACTCACTCCAGTATTCTTGCCTGGAAAATCCCATGGACAAAGGAGGCTGGCAGGCTACAGTCCAAAGGGTGGCGGACTCAGACACGACTGAGCGCACACATAAGCCCTATGGACAGAAAGAGGTGTGTTGGGGTGGTAAGTAAGGGGATGGCCACAAGGTGTTTGGGTTACCCTTTTCTGTGAAGTGAAAGTGTTATTGTCTGAGTCGTGTCCTACTCTTGGCAACTCCATGGACTGTAGACCACCAGGGTCCTCTCTCCATGGGATTTCCCAGGCAAGACTACTGGAGTGGGTAGCCATGCCCTCCTCCAGGGGATCTTCCCAACCCAAGGATCAAAGCTACATCTCCTGTATTGCAGGTGGATTCTTTACCGTCTGAACCACTAAGGAAGCCCACTCTTTTCTGCACCACATGGTAAATCACCCCGGGTTTTACTAAGAGGCTTAAAAACAGCACCATTCCATGTGCTCTGGTAAAGATTCTAGAAGGGCTGAATGGGGGAAGTGAGCCTCTGCTTCATGAGGGTTGGCTGGATCCTGGTCACTCGCAGGACAACAGGACCTCTCTTGCTCCAGGGGGTCTCCCAGCAGACTTGAAGGGTTTCTCATATGGCAGCTTGTGGGCCCAAGAATATACATAAAAGTGGAAGCTGCCAAGCTACGCTGGAACTGGTGGAGCATCACTTCTGCTGACTTGGATTAACTTAAGTGAGTCCTAGGGTCTGCCTGGGGAGAGGGCTACACAGGGTCATCAGTGGGGGCATATTCCCATGGGCGTCACCAATGCAGCGGCCTGCCAGCCTTGGGCCAGGTCCAGGAGAAGGGGAAGGGTCACCTAGGCCTGACATGGCATCTTTGCCCCAATACTGGGGTTCTGGATTTAGATGTGGGCTCCTGTCCAGGCTTGGCCAGCTGCCTGACCTTCTTTGCACTTTGATAGCTCACCCCCCACAACCCACCCCCACACTGGTGGGGAGGGACATCACCTTTCTTACTTCAAATGCAGGAGCTCCAGGGAGCTGCCATGACACAGACAGGGAAAGGAGGGTAGCTTGCTTGGAAGGGTGTGACCACCGCCCCCCGCCGGCCCCTGCACATCCCCATCTGCCTCGCTGGCCTGTCACCTGTGCAGACAGGCAGGGAGACCACAGCTATGGGAAGGCCGCCCTGGGCTGCATTGCTTGTCTTCCCTCTCCTCTCCACTCCTCTAATGTCCCACTCCTGCCCATCACCTTCCCGGAGACCCTGATCTTTCCCACCCAGAGGCACTGACATCTACCCAACAGGGACTCCACAGGCTGCCTCGTATTTGTAATTCCCTCTTTGCAAGTCCCTTCTGTCTCCTGCCACCTGAGTAGAAAAGCTCTTTGAGTTTCAAATCTGGGCCCCAGAGCAGTAGGGATTGCTCGTCAGGGTGAACAAGGCAGGCTGGCACAGAGAAGGCTGGACAGATGGCCACTGTGGTGACTGCACCGTCCTAGCTGGGAGGCCTGGGGGTGGTGACAATAGCCACCCTGGTCTCCAGCCAATGAGGCCGTGTGTAATAGGCCAAGGAGCTGGCTGGCGAGGTGAACGGCTGGAGGGAAGAGGCAGGGAGGTCTGAGGCTGGGGCTGAGGGAAGGGGGCTCTCTTTCGGAAAACCCTCTGTCTTTGCAGGGGACCACAGCCCTTGGTTTCCTTTCCACCTCCTCAGGTTCTCCTCAAGACCTGGTCACACAGATAAGGTCACAGGTTTGGTGAGGGGCAGGGACCAGCTGAAGATCTACCTGATGCCAAGGCCCCTGCTTTCCTACCAGCCAATACAGCCGCTATCAAAGCAAGCTGCGGCTCTGACCGCCCAGCGTGCCTTACCCCTAAGATCTCTCTCTCCTAAGAAGTGGCCCTGGCTGGGCCGGGAGGCGAGCAGGGGCAGAGGCTTGGCGGGTGCTTCTCAGGGGGGAGGTGCCCCCCAACCCCACCCCAACGCAGTCCCCATGGAACTCGGTGCTCATGGGGACCGACTGTGCCCAGCAGGGGTTAACCCGAACGCAGAGACCAGAGGATAAATCCAGGGTGGGCGCCACATGAGAGTCTGGTCGCTCCAAAGCCCAGAGGCAGAGGCCCCCCTTGGCGTGGCTGACTCCTTGCTCCCGGCAGAGCTTCACCATCCTTTGGGTAGCAGAGCCGCGGCTCTGATTCAGCGAGCATGCGTGCCAGCAGCCGCGCTCGGGGGAAGGGGCGGCGAGCTCCCGCTGGCCCCGGGCCAGGCCGCCTGTTCCGAGGCTTGCGTGGCCGACTTCTCCAGTCCTGCTCAGCCTCTGCTGCTCAGAGGCTCCTTCCGGAGAGAGGCTGGGTTTGGCAAGGTCCAGGAATAGCACGGAGGTTTTAGCACAGGGAAGGGAGGGGAAACCACACCGCGCGAGGTCGCAGTGTTACAGGACACTTGGATTCTGGGGCAGCTGGGCTGCCCTGGAGCCTCGGACTGGCGGCAACCCAGGGAGGGCTCCATGGGTTGGCCTGGGGCAGAGATGGGGATGGGGTGCAGGGCACTGTCACACTGCGGTGGAGCTGCTGTACCCCTGAGTTCCTGCCCCTGGGGCTTAGCCCCCACCTCTTTGCAGCTTAATCTTAAGGGCAGAGCAGTGGGCTTTTGGCTGCCCTTTGGGAGGGGAGGTCTCCAGCCTGAGGAGGGGGCAGCAGCCTCTTTTTCTATCTGGCAGAACAGTCTCTGGGAGGAAAGGACTCAGACAAGGCATAGGCTGGTGGAGATGGAGCAACCAAGAGACAAGGGGCGGGAAGTCTGTGACCTGGGGAACAGGGGTGATCTGCCTGTGTCCTGTGGAGGGGACTGGCCTCCAGGCAGAGAGGGGGCTCTGGGCCTGTGGATTCCGGGCTTAAGTCTAGCCTATGACTAAGAGTAATGGCTTGAAATTCCAGAAAGGCTCCTCTGTCACATGAAGGCAGGACAAGCACAGCCTAACTTGGGGAATGGAAGGCAGACCCAGCATTCGGGAAGGCGGCCCTGCTCTCAGTTAGGCTCAAGGAGGGACCCTGGCAGGATGGGGGGCTGGAGGAGAAGCAGCTCCCCACTACCACCTGGGGCCTGGAGGGGTCTGCAGTCGGGGACAGAACTGGGGAGCAAGGGCCTGGGGCTGCTGCGTACTCAGACGTTTGGTGAACCCCCCTCAGCATGCGGGCGTGAGCCCAGGAATCCAGCCGGGGCTGGCTGTCCCAGGAACAGCAGCTGCAGCTCGAGGCAAAAATAGAACATGGAACAGCCTGGCTGCCTGTAAGATCTGGCTTGTGTCTGAAAAGACAAGAAAGGAAAAAGAAGAAGAAAATTCCCTGAACCAAGCAACTGAGAAACAATCTTTTCTTCACACATCTTTGAAAGGGAAGGCCAGCGTTCTGCAGGCTTCTGCAGGGGTCCTTGGCTACAGGGCTCATGTGGGGCTAATGCAAGTGGCGGGGGGGGGGGGGCAGCCGGGGGCCCCAGGGTCGTTCAGAGGCTGTGTTTGAGCCTCTTACTGTCTTTGGACACTGGCAGTTTGGGGCTCCCCCCCTGACCTGTAAAGGCTCTGTCTGCACTTGGCCCTGGAGGTGACAAGGGACATGACTGGCAGCAGGATGGAGCTGAAGGTGAAGGGGGAAGGCCGAGCCCAGCTGACCCTGTGCCATCTCAGTGGACACAGGTTAATCTGAGTTCAAGCAAAGACTTGGTTCTTAGGAATGAAAACCAATACAGGGTAACTGCTGAGCAACTTGAACAGGAGGAGAAATCCCTGTCTCTGGTCTCATGATGAAAAGATCTGGGGGCTCCCCTGGGGACAGCTTGGAGTCACACACTCCCTGCATCCCTGAGCCCTCAATCTTTCCTCCTCAGCACCTACCCCAGAACCTTGGGGCTATGGCTTTAAGAAGAGATTAAAGGCCACCAGTTACCCAGAGGCTGCTCACGTCCAGTCAGCAGGGCTAGAGGGTCTGGCTGTCACCACCTAGCTTCTCCTTCAGACCCCCTCTGGTCTGGCTGAGTCTCGACAACCCCCGGGTGGCCCCAGCTTCCCCCTCCTTTCTGAGACCAACAGTGTCGGGAAGCTCTGATTGCTGTTCGGCCAGGTTCTCCACATCCCACTCCAACCCCTGTCCCTCCGGGGCTGGGGGAAATAGCTCAGGTATGACCAGGTCAGATTCCAAAGCTCCTGGTCATAAATGCTTGTGTTCTGTTCCCAAGGGGCACCCCAGTGATTTGGGAGCGGGGATGGGGGGCGAGAAAAGTTGTAGGAAAAGAGGTGGAAGGGAGCTTCCATCAGTCACCACCCTCTCTGGGACAGCATTTAGGGAACCCTCTAAATGCTTAGAGCATTCAAAATCTCTAAGCATTTTGAACAAAGACCAAGTTTTAGGAAGCCCTTAACCAAATCTTGATGATCCCAGGACTCCTCTCTTGGCAAAGCTGGAGGTCTGGCCGGCTGCAGGGTTGCTAGGTACATGGCCAGGTAGCCCTGCTGCAGCTGCTTCTGGTACTGGATCACTTTCTCCTTCTCCTCCTTCCACACCAGCCGCTCGTGCTGGAAGCCGGACGACATCTGGTCGTGCCCCTGCCGCTCCTCCTGGAGCTCCGCGCGCAGCCGCTCCAGCTCGCGCTGCAGGGCGGGCACGTCGTCCGCGGGGGCGGGACCCAGCGCGGCCGCGTCCCGGCTCCGCTGCAGGGCGGCCTGGGCCCGCAGCTCCAGCAGCTCCTGCTCCAGCAGGTTCACCTTCTCCCGCAGCAGCTCCGCCTCGTTCTTCTTGCGCTGCAGCTCGTTTTCGCAGACCTCCAGCTCCAGGCCCTTGGTGCGCAGCGCGCTCTCCAAGTCCTGCGTCTTCAGCTCCAAACCCTCCAGCCGACCCCGCGTGTCCTTCAGCTGGGCCTTCAGGTTGAGGATCTCGCTGGCCTTGGCGTTGATCTCTGTCTGGGACTCCTTCAGCTGCTGCTTCAGGAGGGAGATCTCGCCGGACTTCTGGCACACCTGCCATGGGGCAGGGCAGGGCAGGGACAAGAGAGAGCCAGGGGGTGAGAGTCCGCACCTAGTGGGCAGGGGTCACACCTCACTGCTTAAAAGCACTTAATCCTACGCCATCCAGTGATTGGGACTCGTGGTTTTCACTGCCGATGATGAGGTTTCCATCCCTGATCGGGGAACTAAGCTCCTGAAAGCCACCCAGCGCGGCCCACCCAGTCCCTTCAGGGTGCCTGGAAGGAGTCCCAGCATGGTGGTCTGGGGGACCCACGAAGGCCAAGCCCCTCTATGAGGCTCCTTTCATTCTGAATCTGGCTGGGTCTGCCCACAAGCCTATCTCACCCCCAATTCAGAACCTAAATCTCAGTCCATACCCAAACCCATGTCCCTGCTGTTTAGTCGCTAAGTCGTGGCTTTGGGACCTCATGAAGGACCCCACCAGGCTCCTCTGTCCATGGGATTCTCCAGGCAAGAATGCTGCAGTGCCATTTCCTTCTCCAGGGGATCTTCCCCACCCAGGGATCGAATCTGTGTCTCTTATGTCTACTACTTTGGCAGGCAGATTTTCTTTCTTTTTTTTTTTTTAACCAGTGGGGAAGTCCACCCAAACTTATAGTTATGTATAAATTAAGGGCCAGTGGTTTAATCTGCCCACAGCTGGTAGCTCCACTGTCTACATTAACAGCAATGATGTCAATTTTGGGTCTGCCTAATTTCTATCATCTGTGTATACTCTCTTACCCTCTGGCCTCACCCCTGCACATACTCTGTTCTCCTTCCTCTTGGGATAAAGACAATATTCACACAATCATGACTGCACCCCAGCAACCAACTGGGCTCAGAAACAGTGCCCAGCTGGTATCTGCCAAATGATGAGCCACTGTTCTCCCCAGTGCCCTCCACCATTTCTACTTCAATCTCCATCAAAAGTTGGCTAAGAGCAGCAAACAAAACTAATGATACCAATGACACTGACTCAGACCCATGTGTCTATGGAGTCCAGGCCACTGGGGGTCATGTGTCCAAGGCCAGTCTTTCTGGCTGTGTTACAAGAGCATTTTCTGCTGGCCTGCAGGGAAGATGGCTAGAATGAAGGCCAGGGCCTGGGCCTCCACAGAATAGATTCTTTGAGCAAGACTGGAAGTTTTAATATTTCCTCTTTTTTTCTTGAGGTAGAACCACCCCTTGCTCTCACGCACCACCTCCGAAGTGTGCACAGCCCCACCACCATGGTTGGCTGGGGCTGAAACAGCCTTCCGAGGGTGAGCCTGGATTTGTGTCATGGAGGGGGTGGCAGAGCCGTGGCTGAGGCCGGGGCCTCGCTTTGAATCCTGGCTCTACCAGAGTGACCCGGCCAATTCTGCATCCATTAGCACAGTACCGTTACGAACATGAAACTCTGAACTCTGGGACCTAATTCAGGATCAGATCCTGGCTCTGATACCTGCTCTGTGGTGACTTTGGCAGGTCATCTAACGAGCTCTTTGCTATTATAATTGTTCTCCATGCTTCAGTGTCCTTAACTCATTGGGCTGTTGTAAAGGTTAAATGAAAGGACCTGGGGCCTGGCATTAATAAACACTCTATGAATTATTGTTGTTATAAATATGTTTGTTATAATGTCTATGTTTTTGTGAAAATTTACTTCATTTATTGTTTTACTAATACTCTGGACACCCTGGGAGTGAGGTCACAGCCATGTCCAGCTTAGTTCTGGATTAGACAAGCAAGGATGGATGCACAATGCTAGCGTTGGCTTATGTTCTGAGATGGACCAAAGTGTTCCCAAGTCCTGGCTGAGAAACCGTGGCCTGGAGAGGGTCTCCTGAACCAACAGTGATGAGAAGAAGAAAAGCACTGGTCCCATGGCTGAGGTCCCTCCCTCTTTGGGAGACCTGGCAGACAGAAAGTGAGACTGCCTGCCCACCTCTCTAGTGCCTCTGCCCATCACTTCCTCAGAAAGGATCTTTCTCCTCTCCCCTTGATAACATCTGTCGCTCTAATTTCCAGAATAAGCACAGGAGATCAGTTCAGACAGATGGCTGTGTGGCTGATGGCGTGTCACCCCCACCCAGGGGTGATGCTGGTCTAACCAGACCCAGTGAGCCCTCAGCCCCTTCCCAGGGCAGGAGTCTCTGGGGTGAATGCCATGCACGAGCCTCTTCTGGTCCCTGCACCACCTTTAGAGGCCCATCAGATGAGAACAGTGAGCAGGATGTGGGGCTTAGGCTGTTCTCCAATGAGACCAGGTGCAGCCACCGTATTTCCAGGAGTGCCTGAGGATGTGCGTGTGTATGTGAGCCCCCTTTCTTCCTGCTGTCTTCTTCCATCTCAGCCCCCCAGACAGAAGCTCCACTTGCACTCCTGTGAGGACTGGCCAACTCTGTCCCTGAGACCTGCACAGTTGTGACCACTCCCCGCAGTGGGTGGGGTCCCTTTCCTCAAAAGTCACAGACGAGGGACTTCCCTGGTGGTCCACTGGTTGAGACTCCATGCTCCCAACGCAGGGACCTTGGGTTTGATCCTTGGTCAGGGAACTAAGACCCCGCATGCCAGGTTGTAGCCAAAAAGTAAAAAAAAAAATCCCGCAGCTTTGGAACTGTGATGTTTTCAGAGTACAAACAGAGCCTTCCATAAAGAAAACAACAACAACCAAAAGATGAAGAAAAAACATCACAAATGGTGCTATGGTCTCCTGTGGCTTTGGGACCATCATGAACCAGGGATGATTCGCGGTTCTGCAGAGCCTCTGTGAGCAGATGCACTGAGGTGGCCCTCACAGCCTGGCTGGGACTTGGTTCTCTTGTTCGTTTCTCAGCCAATGACTCAATTAGTAAATGCAGTTCTGGCCATGAGGCATGGGGTTGGGGAGATGAAGAAGCCCAGACTAAGAAAATCTCCAGCATGGTTTCCTGGGGAGCCCTTTCTTTGGGTCAGGAGGCCAGCAGTCCAGCCCAGTTTTCCAGGGCAATTGTGTTCCCACCCTTGTTGCTACGGTAGCTCAGCTGGTGAAGAATCTGCCTGCAATGCAGGAGACCCCAGTTCAATTCCTCGGTTGGGAAGATTCCCTGGAGAAAGGATAGGCTACCCACTCCAGTATTGTTGGGTTTCCCTGGTGGCTCAGATGGTAAAGAATCTGCCTGCAATGCAGGAGGCCTGGGTTCGATCCCTGGGTTGTGAAGATCGCCTGGAGGAGAGCATGGCAACCTGCTCCAGTCTTCTTGCCTGGAGAATCCCCATGGACAGAGAAGCCTGGCGGGCTACAGTCAGTGGGACTGCAAAGAGTCGGACATGACTGAGCGACGTCACACTTCTCCCTGTTGCCTAGAGCCTGGAGGAGACCTGGAGAAAGTGGTGGGGAATGCAGGCACTGAACCCCTGCCCACCCCCTGCCCACGCCCTCATCCTCACCTCCCACTGCGTCTCCTCCAGTGCGGGGGCAAAGCTGGTCTTCTCCTTTTCGTAAGACCTGAGTTTGGTCTCCAGCAGATCCTGCTCCTTCATGAGGCTCTCGAGCTCCTGCCGGAGCTGCCGTTTCTCCTGCTGCAGCTGGAGCACCTGGAGATGCAGGACCTGCTGGGCGCGCTGGCTCTTCTGCGCGGCCACCTTCAGCTTGCCCTTGGCCTCCAGCCCCTCCAGCTCGTCCTTGCCACGCCGCGGCCGCTCCTCGTGAGGCTGGCTGGCGGCCGGCTCCTTCTCCTCGAAGCTGCGGTGCAGCCTCCGCAGCTCGCCCTCCCTCCCCAGCAGCTGTTTCTCCAGCTCCTGGATGGTGCACTGGTCCGTGGAGATGGGGGAGCGCACGGAGCCCTTGTCCTTGCTTGCGTGGGCCAGCTTGCTGCCCCCGTCAGAGAAAGACAGGGCCTTCAGGCTCATCATGTTGCTGTCCTGGAGGACAATGCCCTGTGTGATGTTGTGGGCTGAGCCCCCAAACCGGCTGGCGGGCCCCACCGGAGTGACCAGCGGGTCCAGCTGGTAGCTGCTGCTGGTACTGTGGGTGGGCAGGCTGGACATGGAGTTCCGGCCGGAGTCGGACAGTGCCCCAGAGCACAGGCTGGGCTTCAGCTCCTGCTCCTTGGGCTTGTCCAGAGGCACGGGATGCAGCTGGTGGCCAGTGCTCTCAGGCGATGAGTGGAGGATGGCGCCTGACCGTGGCAGCACTGGCTTGAAGGCCGTGGGTCTCACGGCACCCTTCTCGGAACCCTGGGGAGGAAAACAGCCATACTTACCCTGTGTCTCCCTGCGTTGAGCCCTGTGTCAGGTATGTATGCCAGCTACATGGCACCTTCCTGGTCACGGGCTGCAGGTGACCTCACCCGTTACTCTGAAGGGGCCAAAGGTGGTGAATCTCCCTCAAGGAGGAGGAATTCCTCCATGCCTATCCTTAAAGATAATCAGGCCCTTTGTTTTGTGAGCTACCAACCAGTCTGTCACCAGTTTCTCCGAGATGACAGCCCTTCTAGGCTCACTGGCTGAGACCCCATGCCAGGGTTCTGGGGCTCCATGTGCTGCAGGTAAGGATGCTGGACACACAGTCCTCAGGGAAGTTCATCCCTGCTTCTTCCCCATTGCTTCCAGTTGGCCAGCAGCTGGAACTCTGGCCGTGGCCTCCCCCAATGGTTGGGAGAACCGCTTGAAATAACAATCTTTTCCCTAAAGCCATCATTTTCATTATTAGAGGACTTCAAAGTTTACAAGCTCTTTACTTTGAAAAGCTTAAAACTCTATCCAACATGTGGGCCGTGTCCTAGCATATCAATGCATAGATTCATCCTCCCAGGTGAGGCCAGGGTGCTGATAGGAACAATGCTTCTAGCATCGACCAGCAGGACACATGAGAACTTAAAGTGGGACGAGGGCTCCATTTCTTAGCTCCTGGGACTCTGCACTCATCCTTGCTAGATTGGTGATGATAACAAACCCAAAGGACTTCCCTGGTGGTCCAGTAGTTAAGACTCCATGCATCCACTTCAGGGGGTTCGAGATCCATTCCTGGTCAGAGGACTAAGATCATGCAAGCCACACAGCATGGCGAAAAACTAACTAACAAACTCACAGCTCTTATCCCACCAAAGATGCTTTGGGGCTGGTTTGAGTGAGAGCTGCTGTCCCACCAGAGCAGTGGAGGAGGAGAAAACCCACCTCCGTGAGTCCTAACAAGAGAGCCTCTGCAGGTGGGCTTTCCACCTGCTTTTCCAGATGGTAAGCGAGCCCCTCCCCCTTCCCATGCACTTGAAAATACTGCTCTTGGTCCTGCCTTGGCTATCCTGAGTCACAGTCCAGCAGAGTTCAGAAAGGCTTGCATTCTCTGATTGCTCTGTGCTAAAAGCTCACCCGGGACTTTTGCATTAGGAGACTGATCAATGTGTTTATTCCTTTGTCCAATCTTGCTCTCCGGTGTGGCTCTGAGTACTCCTGCCCTCTCTGCATCACTCAGTAATGTAAGCGTTCTCAGTGATGTAAGCATTTAAGACCTTCACCACCACCGCTCTCAGCCCCAGGTCTCTTTCCTGCCTTTCCAACCCAGCCACCCACACCAGAGACCTGTCCACTTACCATCTCCAGCTGATTGGAGAAAGGCATGAGCTTCGGTGGGGTGGATGGGTCGAAGTCCACCCCTGCCTGGCCCCCTAGGTCCCCACTGGACAGTGCCGTGTAATCAGGGCGGTGGGAGCCCCGGGCCTTCTGGCTGACCTTGATGTAGAAGAAGTCTTCGCTCTTGCCCATTTTGGAGCTGGACTTGCCATGCCCCGAGTCCTGGGAGAAGCCAAACCTCAGCAGCCCGTCTGAATAGCGGTTGAGCTTCTTGAGGTGGGAAGACTTGCGCAGCTTGTACTGCGAGGCCCGGCAGTGCTTGCTGTGGAAGCCGTGGCCGGAGATGAGGCTGCTGACACTGCCCATGCTGACACGGGCGCCGGGGACAGCGGGCGCAGAGCGGGGACCTGGCGTGGCCGGGGCGGCGAGCGGCAGTCCTGGCTCCGAGAAGAGACTGCAGTCATAGCAGAAGCCTCACACAGCCTGGGGGAGCCAAGACCTGGAAGGAGACATAAGCAGAAGTCAGCCTGGATGGGGTGGTCATGGCACGTCCCCACTGGTGACCAACCTCGAGATCTGGGCAGCAGAGAAATGCGTGTTTCCCCTAACAGAGGCTCAGCCCTGTCTGTCTCAGTGGGCTCCCCTCTCATTTTTCCTTTGTCCTCTAATTCAGCAAACATCTGCTAGAAGCCTACTATGGGATGGCTCTTTTCTTTTTCAAAATTTTTATTCTTTTTTTTTAACACCGAAACCATTTTGTATTGGGGTATAGCTGATTAACAACGCTGTGATAGTTTCAGGTGAACAACAAAGGGACTCAGCCATGCATATGCACGTGTCCATTCTCCCTCAAACCCGCCTCCCGTGCAGGCTGGCACATAACACTGAGCAGAGCTCCACGTGGTATACAAAGGTTTCTGTTGGTTATTCGTTTTAAATATAGCAGTGCGTATGTGACCTGCCAAAAGTCCTTAACTATCCCTTCCCCCCAGCAACTGTGAGTTTGTTTTCTAAGTCTGTTAGTCTTTTTGTGTTTTTTAAGTCAGCTCGTTTGTATCATTTTAGATTCCACATAAAAGGGATGTCATGATATTTCTCCTTCTCTGTCTGACTTACTTCCCTCAGTGCGACACTCTCTACGTTCATCCATGTTGCTGCAAATGGCCTTATTTCATTCTTTTTAATGGCTGAGTAATATTCCATTGTATATATGCACCACCTCTTCTTTGAGATGGCTCTCTTCTCAGCACTGGGATGCAGGGGTGACTGGGACAGTTACAGTCCCTGCACTTATGGGGCTTGTGAGTAGTGTAGTGTGGACTGGCCATAAACAGATCAATGTGTGTGACCTCAAGAGATCTGTGCGCTCCAGGGGAGATAAAGCCAAGTGAATGGGATGGAATTCTGTTGTTGTGCTAGCTGCTCAGTCAGACTCCTTGTGACCCCATGGACTACAGCCCACAAGGCTTCTCTGTCCATAGAATTTTCCAGGCAAGAATACTGGAATGGGTAGCCATTCCCTTCTCCAGGGGATCTTCCCGGCCCAGGAATCGAACCCAGGTCTCCCGCACTGCAGGCAGACGCTTTGCCGCCTGAGCCACCAGGAAGGGGAGGTGGCTGCTTTATGCAGGGGATGTGAAGGAAGCCTCTCTGTTTGGTGTCATTTGAAGAGACCCCAAGAAAACGAGGGAGAAAGCTATGTGGAGACCTGTGGGGAGAAAGAGGAAGCTCAGGCAAAGCCCTGAGTCCCCGAGTGGAATGTGGTGGGCATTTGTGAGACCGGCAAGGAGGCCAGTCTGGCTGGAGGGTAGTTAGCAGTGGGGGTTTGGAGGACGCAGACGTCAGAGAGCTAGTAGGGGCCAGGCAACAGAGAGCCCGACTGGCCGTAAGGGTTTCGGCTACAGTCTGAGATAAGAAGCCCCCAGATGGCTTTAAGCAGCTGACAACTTGGTCTGACTTGCGTTGTGGAGGGCCACTCTGGCTGCTGTGTGGGAGAGCCAGTGAAGAGCTTGGGTGGAAGTGGGGCCTGTTACAGCAGGTGCGTGACTAGCATGGCTAGGCTAGGGTGGTAGCTGTGGATTCAAGTTTTTTTCAATTTTATTTATTTTTATTTATGTATTCTTGACTGTGCTGGATCTTCACTACTTTGTGGGCTTTTCTCTAGTGGTGGAGAGAGGAGGCTATTCTCTAGTTGTGGTGCACGGGCTTCCCGTTGCAGTGGCTCCCCGCGTTGCAGAGCGTGGGCTCCGGGGTGCACAGGCTTCAGTAGCTGCAGCTCCGGGCTCCAGCGCACAGGCTCAATATTTGTGGCACACAGGCTTAGTTGTTCTGCTGCATGTGGGATCTTTCCAGACCAGGAATTGAACCCATGTCTCCTGCACTGGCCAGCAGATTCTTTACCACTGAGCGAGCGGGGAAGCCCTGGATTCAATTTTAGATGTAATTTTAAAGTTGAGCTGATGGTACTAGTTAAAAGATTGAATGCAGGGAGGGAAAGAGTGGAATCTAGGATGACTTCAATGTTTTTATCCAAGTATCCAGAAGAAGTAAGTTGCCATTTATTGAGATGCAAAAGACCACAAAAGGAACCAGTTTAGGATGAAGTGGGGGTGGAAATAGGACTTTGGTTTAAGACATTAAGATTGCAAAGCCCATTAGACATCCAAGCAGTGATGGAGAGTAGGCAGCAGAATGGGTGTGGAGCAGGGCAAGCTCCAGATTTCCTTGTATGAGCTGTTTGTGCATAGTCTCGGAGCTAGTTCTGAGACTAGATGAAAATGCAAGGGCAAGAAGGCAAGAGAAATGTGAGGACTGGTTCACAGAGGCCAGGAAGATGAGTGGGGATGAGGAAGAGACACTAAGAAGTCTCTGACAGACATGCAGGAGACCCGTGAAAGGTAAGGATGAAGATGGTGTCAAGTGACGCTGAACTAAGATGGCAGCTAAGAACTGGCCAGTGGATTTGGCTGTGTGGAGGCACAAGTGACCTTGACAAGAGTGGTTTTGGGTGGACAGGTGTGAAGAAGGGCCTGACTGGAGAGGGCTCACAAGAAGAGGGGAGAGACAGCTGCACCCTTGAACAATGACTAGCAACGTGGCCGACTTGGTTTGGGTTCCCAGTTACGCTCCCTGCCAGCCATGACGTGGGAGGTTAAACTCTTAAGAGAGTTTACCTTCATCTTTACGTCTTTACCTTCAGTGTCACAAACCAACGCTAAGATACACTTAAATTTTTTTTTTTAAGTAATAGGACTGCATCTTATAATCAATGTTGAAAACAATAACAACAGCCTTGCTGGTTATCAGACAGAGGAATGCACTAGAAGGCAATGCAGGCACCCTATAAGGCGAATTGCTCAAGCCTGGGTCACCTGATTTTCAGAGCTTGGAAATGCTGTGTGATTGTCATGCATTGAGAAGGAGTATTTCTCTGTCAGTCAAAAGACAGATGATTCAATTAAGAAGCGGTGGGAGGGGAGGGACATGGCAAGTTTAATAAAATAGGAAATGCAGAAGGAACCCTGCATTCTTTATTCTGCTCTAAATTACCCTGTCAACTGAAAGGGGCAGAAGACATCCCAGGTGGGTGATAAGAGGGTATTATGGGCACAGCTGAGGGAACCAGAAGACTCTTCAGACCCTGAAGATGAAGGCTCAGGTTCAAACATGCATTGTCATCTTGAAGAATAAAGTAGCTATGATATGAATAAATACATCCTACATTCCTGGGAGGAATTGGGGGCAGGAGGAGAAGTGGACGACAGAGGATGAGATGGCTGGATGCCATCACCAACTCGATGGACGTGAGTTTGGGTAAACTCTGGGAGTTGGTGATGGACAGGGAGGTCTAGCGTGCTGCGATTCATGGGGTCACAAAGAGTCGGACACGACTGAGTGACTGAACTGACTGACTGACTGACATTCCAATCATAAGAGCACCACACAACAAAACAGCATTCTGTAAGTGTAATATATGCATTTCTATGAAAAGCTTTTATTAAATTGATGGTCTCTTAGAATCAGGGAAACACGATGATACCTCATGGGGCCATCATGAGCAGTTTGTTAGATCTTACCAGAAGCTAATAGGTCTGATACATTTATTTAAAGCCTAGTATGTAGTAGGCACTCAATGAATAGGAGGTATTTTCACTGGTATCTATGATATATTATCATTCTTTTTCTCTCCAGGCATTCAGCAGCCCTGTGTTATCTTCAATGGCCACATCTCATTTTCCAGAACTAGTTCTCTCCTCTCCAAATGAAAGTTTCCTGCATCCCATTCCCTGACAGCACTACTTAGGCGCATGAAGTTCTTCTGCTAATTTAACAGTTGACAATGACAAAATGTGTTTCTCATGCCCCAGCTCATCCATCTCTTGCTTAGTTGAGGCCCCAGGGGCCTATGAGGCAATATTTTACAGCTGTCCATATATTGGGAAGCTATTTTTGGCCAAAAGACTCTTGTGCACTCTGCATCTGCTACCAGTTGGACAACTGGTGACTTAGTTTCTGCTCGTCCAGTTACACATTTGTGAACATCTGCATGGACAGTGTTGTAGAGATAATACCATAGGCTATGGCATCAGAGAGACTGGGATTTGAAAATTAACCTCTCTGAGGTTTCTTTGCCACAAAATGGAAATAATCAGGATTTCACAGGCTCAGTATGGGGATGAAGCAAACTCACAGAAGTCAAGTGCAGTGCCTCAGACATGGCAGGTGCTGTCCAGGGAGTCCATGATCAACTGAAATGCAGGATTAGGGTGACTTCTAGAAGTGTGTACTAGCTGGAACAGAACTATAATACCAGGAAGACATGTGAAATTAATCTGTTTGCAGCTCATGCAATTCAATAATAAAAAATGAACAAACTTAATTGAAGAATGGGCAGAAGATCTAAATAGACGTTTTTCCAAAGAAGACAGACACAGGCATACAGGCTGACAGGCACACAAAATTATGCTCATCATTGCTAATAATCAGAGAAATGCAAATCAAAATTACAATGAGGTACCACCTCATACCGCTTAAAAGGACCATCATTAAAAAGTCTACATATAATAAATGCTGGAGCAGGTGTGGAGAAAAGGGAACCTTATACTGCTGATGGGAACGTAAACTGGTGCAACTCTATGGAAAACAGCATGGACGTGCCTCAAAAAATGAAAAATAGAGTTGCCATATGATCCAGCAATCCTGCTATACGATGTCTATCTGAAGAAAACTGTAATTCAAAAGGATACATGCACCCTGGTGTTCACTGCAGCACTATTTATAATAGCCTGGGCATTGAAGCAACCTAGATGTCCATCAACAGATAGGAATGGATAAAGAAGAGGGGGTACATATATATGATAGAATATTACTCAGCCATAAAAAGGAATGAAATAATGCCATTTGCAGTAACATGGATGAACCTAGAGATTATCATATTAAATGAAGTAAGCCAGACAGAGAAAGACAAATGCCATATGAATACCACTTATGTGTGGAATCTAAAATATGACACAAATGAACGTATCTACAAACAGAAACAGATTCGCAGACATACAGAACAGACTTGTAGTTGCCAAGAGCGGGTGAGGGAAGGATAGACTGGGAGTTCAGGATTAGCAGATTCAAACTAGTGCGTACAGGATGGATAAACAACAAGTTCCACTGTATAGCACAGGGAGCTATAGTCAATATCCTGTGATAAACCATAATGGAAAAGAAAATGAAAAAGAAAATAAATACAGATAACTGAATCATTTTGCTCTACAGCAGAAATTAACATTGTAAATCAACTATACTTCAATAAAGCTAAAAAAAAAAAAAAATCTGTTTGCAGGTCTCCTGCTGCACTGCCATCTCCTTTCACTTGGACCCTGAGACAGCCTCCAAATTTATCTTTTCCCCATCTGCTCATCCTAAGCATCTGGAGTGTCGCAGTCCTCCCGCTCACAGGTGAAGTCCTTTCAAGGCTTCCCATTGCTTGTAGAGTGAAGCATGCTCCTCACGAGTTCAGCGGGTTCGCAGTCCCTGATTTGTCCACCACTCCAGTCTCCTCACCTCAGTGATGGTCGCACTGTTTTCTTCTGCTGGTGGAACACGCCAAACCTCTTCTTATCGAGGAGCTTTACTGCCTCTGTTTCCTCTGCTGACAACTCTCTGCCTTAGCTCTTCCTCTTCACACACATTTCCCTTTCGCACACTGTAGTTTTCAATTCAAATATCACCTCCACGGCTTTCCTAGTTACTCATAGAAAAATATATTTCCCCCATTCCTCTCTGTTAGAACCAATCTGTTTACTTCCTTCACAACAGTTGATTTAATCGGTCAACTCTAAAGAAACCAACCTTGAGTATTCACTGGAAGGACTGATGCTGAAGCCGAGCTTCAGTATTTTTGCCACCTGATGCAAAGAGCTGACTCATTGGAAAAGACCCTAACGCTTGGAAAGATTGAAGTTAGGAGGAGAAGGGGGTGGCAGAGGATGAGATGGTTGGATGGCATCATTGACTCAACGGACATGAGTTTGAGTAAGCTCTGGGAGATGGTGAAACACAGAGAAGCCTGGCATGCTGAAGTTCGTGGGATCTCAAAGAATTGGCCACTGAACAACAAAATCTTTTAAAACAAAGCTTTATATTATATATTGGAGTATAACTGATTAACAATGTTGTGTTAGTTTCAAGTGTATAGTAAAGTGATTCAGTTACACATATACATGCACCTATTCTTTTTCAAATTCTTTCCCCATTTAGGTTGTTATATAATATTGAGTTGAGTTCCCTGTGTCCTACAGTAAGTCATTGCTGCTAACCTATAAAAATCTGCTGATAACTTATAATAATAACCACCAGAATTTCAGCTCTATGAGAGCAGAGACTTTGTCTCTAGACTCCTAGGGTAAAAATGAAGCAAAACTCAGAGGGGCTAGATGTCATTCAACTGACCAGTGACCAAGGTGGGATTAGAACCCAGACCCAAATTGTATGATCTTCACATGACAGCACATTGCTGAGGACTATAGGTAGAGGCTCAGAGATAGGGTGCCTAGTCGCTCAGTCATGGCTGACTCTTTGTGACCCCATGGACTATAAACTGCCTGGCTCCTCTGTCCATGGGATTTTCTAGGCAAGAATACTGGAGTGGGTTGCCATTTCCTATTCCAGAGATCTTCCCAACCAAGGGATCGAACCTGCATCTCCAGCATCTCCTGTGTTGCAGGTGGATTCTTTAGCACTGCGCCACCTGGGAAGCCCCCAGAGATTATTAGGGGGTCCTATCCTGAAAGGCAGGTCAGTTTCAAGGGTTGACAGAAAGAAAGTCAGGAGAGGAAATTAAGCTCGTGGCCTCCAGCCATAGCTTCATTTCCCAACTGGGCAGAAGACAAGGTTTTAGGTATAGGTGAGCTCCTTCACTGATGGGAACGGCAGCCTGGAAGATGTGCGAAGGGCAAGCACTGTGCTGGGCCCCAGGGGACTGAGAGGGAGAGGACAAACGGTGCTGGGAGCAGAGGCGTGGAGTGGGGGAAGGACGCTGGCTCTGATCCTGAGAGCATTTCTGTCCCTGGAGCCTCTGCTCGCCATTCCCCAGGTCTTAACACACAGAAGAGCTTTGAAGTTTGAGATTCTCCCCCAGATATATTTGAAGCTAACCTAATTACCTTTAAATGTCTAGACTTGTTCGGTTTTCAACTTGGAGAGAGCATCACAGAAAACCTGGCTGTGATCCATCCTAGTTCCCAAATCTTGGGTCTTCCCACCCACCCCCTACCAGACTCATTATCTCTGCCCTCAGGCAGGCAAGGGGAAGGGCACACTTTTCTTCCTGGGAAAGAAATCCCCACTGGCCGAGAGTGTGGGATGTGGGATGAAAGTGAGCAACCACACAGATCTTGGAGACTGCAGAAGGGGAAAGGAAGAGGCAAGAAGGACTGGAGAGGGAAAGATGAAGGAGCCACAGCTCCTCAGCCTGGGCTCAGTTATGTGAGCTCTGTGATCTCCATGGATGTTACAAAAGAGATCCAGCAAGCATTAGACTTAAAGAGAGGAAAGAGAAAGGAGGCCCTAGGATACACTTCTCAGAATCTGGGCCCAGGGAACTGAGGGGACCTGCCTCCCCACCCTGCCACGTGGCCTTCCCCACCGAGGACGGTTGCTGCCCAAGGCGAGGACCACGGAGGCCTGGAAGCCCTGGACTTTGAGCTGCTGCTACTCCCACGGCAGCTGCTCCCTCCGCATCCGTCTTGTATTCTTTTAACCACGGCTCACGCCAGGGTGACACATTCCTCCCTTTCTGGAATATGGAGCTGGAGACACAAACATGAAAAGGGGTCTGTCAGGACTCAGGAAGGTGAGAAATATTACCACCTCCCCGTCATCTCACACCAAGGGGAGAAGCAGCGATGGCCTTTATTGCTGTTCAGTCACTATGTCGTGTGGACTCTTTGTGATCCCATGGACTACAGCTTGCCAGACTTCCCTGTCCTTCACTGTGTCCCAGAGTTTGCTCAGACTCATGTCCACTGAGTCGGTGATGCCCTCCAACCATCTCATTCTCTGTCATCCCTTCTCCTCCTGCCTTCAATCTTTCTCAGCATCAGGGTTTTTTCCCAAGAGTCTATTCTTCACATCAGGTGGCCAAAGTATTGGAGCTTCAGTCCTTCTAATAAATATTCAGGATTGATTTCCTTTAGGACTGACTGGTTTGATCTCCTTGCTATCCAAGGAACTCTCAAGTCTTCTCCAGGACCATAGTTCAAAAGCACTGACTCTTCGGCTATCAACCTTCTTTATGCTCCAACTCTCACATCCATAAATGACTCAGGAAAAACCATAGCCTTGACTAGATTTTTGTCCACACCAAACCCAGACTTCCTGCCTGGGTAAAGTGAGGATACACAGCTGCCCTCCTGTCTGCCCTCTTTGTCTGGAGAGACCACCTACAAGATCAGGATGCTAGCCTCCAGCCACCCTGCTCCTTCTCATGCCTCCCTCTTTCTCAGTCCAGGTCATTCCCTGACTCCTTCCTTTATCGTCTCCCCATCAGCACCCGGGCCAGCCTACGGGGCATCTCTGTGTCCTTCTCAGCACTCTCCCACCAGCTGCCTCCGTCTGGGGCACCCACGGGGTTATGCTGCTGCTGCTGGAGCAGGGAAGCCCTCGCTGAACCCTGAGGAATTCTCCTCCAGCGTCCATGCAGAGGGGGAGGGTGCCCCCACCAGAGCACACTCCGTGGGGTGTGTCCTCAGTGAGCAAGTAATCTCACCTGTGGGCTGAGCAGATGGGGTTGCTGCGTAGGTGTTCACTGGGTCACTAGTTCAACAAATATTTCTTCCTCATCTGACAAGGACCAAGTACTATGCAAAGTGCAGGTGAAAGAGGGTGAGGAAGGAAGGAGAGGAGAAAATGCATAGAAGGAAAAAAAGAAAAGCCAGAGATGATAGTGTCAGTTGTGTGTGTGTGTTTTCTACTTTAGTTGCAGTGTCCGGGGAAGATCTTGGAGAAGATGGTATTCAGGAAGAGTCGGGCTGATGAAGGTTTTGGTAGAATGGTCCCCAGGCTCTGATGCAGGAATGGGCTTAGGGGTCTAGAGCAGAGGGGTCTCCAGGGTGGTGACCTGGCAATATCTGAAGACAAGACTTCTTTGACTGTCACGATCAAGGGTGCCATGGGCATCTGGTGGCCAGAGCACAGGACAACTCCTGGGACAAAGAATTATCTGACCTGAACCCTCAATAGTACTGAGGTTGAGAAACCTGGATTTACAGGAACAGAAAGAAAACATGAGATTTAGAGCCTCAGGTCTGCTGCTTTTGTGGTGTGACTTTGAGTAAGTGGTTTAAGCTCTGTGCGTCTGTTTTCTCAATTGTAAAATGGAAGTAACCACATTTTCTCTGTCACAGGGCTTTATCATGAAAGGAAGTGAGAGCTTAGCATATACCAGAAAAATCACCAACGCTGGTTACTGTATGATTTCTCACTGTGATCCAGGACAGTTCTCTGAGAGATTCTATTGCACAGTAGGGTTTATCTGAAAAGCA